CAGATCATCCAAACAGAAAATTAATAAGGAAACACAAGCTTTAAATGACACAATAGACCAGATAGATTTCATTGATATTTATAGGACATTCCACCCCAAAACAGCAGATTACACTTTCTCTCAAGTGCACACGGAACATTCTCCAGGATAGATCACATCTTGGGTCACAAATCAAGCCTCAGTAAATTTAAGAAAATTGAAATCATATCAAGCATCTTTTCTGACCACTACGCTATGAGATTAGAAATCAATTACAGGGAAAAAAACATGAAAAACACAAACACATAGAGGCTAAACAATACGTTACTAAATAACCAAGAGATCACTAAGGAAGTCAAACAGGAAATCAAAAAATACCTAGAGACAAATGACAATAAAAACACAATGATCCAAAACCTATGGGATGCAGCAAAAGCAGTTCTAAGAGGGAAGTTTATAGCTATACAAGCCTACCTCAAGAAACAAGAAATATCTCAAATAAACAATCTAACATTACACCTAAAGGATCTAGAGAAAGAAGAACAAACAAAACCCAAAGTTAGCAGAAGGAAAGAAATCATAAAGATCAGAGCAGAAATAAATGAACTACAAACAAAGAAAACAATAGCAAAGATCAATAAAACTAAAAGCTGGTTCTTTGAGAAGATAAACAAAATTGATAAACCATTAGCCAGACTCATCAAAAAAAAGAGGGAGGGCTTCCCTGGTGGTGCAGTGGTTGAGAGTCCGCCTGCCGATGCAGGGGACACAGGTTCGTGCCCCGGTCTGGGAAGATCCCATATGCCACGGAGCGGCTAGGCCCGTGAGCCATGGCTGCTGAGCCTGCACGTCTGGAGCCTGTGCTCCACAACAGGAGAGGCCACAAGAGTGAGAGGCTGGCGTACTGCAAAAAAAAAAAAGAAAAAGAGGGAGAGGACTCAAATCAATAAAATTTGACATGAAAAAGGAGAAGTTACAACAGACAACACATACAAAGCATCCTAAGAGACTACTACAAGCACTCAATGGAAATAAAATGGACAACCTGGAAGAAATGTACAAATTCTTAGAATGATATAACCTTCCAAGACTGAACCAGGAAGAAATAGAAAATATGAACAGAGGCAATCACAAGTAATGAAATTGAAACTGTGATTAAAAATCTTCCAACAAACAAAAGTCCAGGACCAGATGGCTACACAGGTGAATTCTATCAGAAATGTAGAGAAGAGATAACACCCATCCTTCTCAAACTCTTCCAAAAAATTGCAGAGGAAGGAACACTCCCAAACTCATTCTATGAGGCCACCATCACTCTGATAACAAAACCAGACAAAGATACTACAAAAAAAGAAAATTACAGACCAATATCACTGATGAATATAGATGCAAAAATCCTCAACAAAATACTAGCAAACAGAATCCAACTACACGTTAAAAGGATCATACTCCATGATCATCATCCCAGGGATGCAAGGATTCTTCAATATATGCAAATCACTCAATGTGATACACCATATTGACAAACTGAAGAATAAAAACCATATGATCATCTTAATAGATGCACAGAAAGCTCTGGACAAAATTCAACAACGATTTATGATAAAAACTCTCCAAAAAGTGGGTATAGAGGGAAACTACCTCAACATAATAAAGGCCATTTACGACAAGCACACAGCAAATATCATTCTCAAGGGTGAAAAACTGAAAGCATTTCCTGTAAGATCAGGAACAAGACAAGGATGTCCACTCTCCCCACTATTATTCAACATAGTTTTGGAAGCCCTAGCCACAGCAATCAGAGAAGAAAAAGAAATAAAAGGAATAAAAATTGGAAAAGAAGATGTAAAACTGTCACTGTTTGCAGATGACATGACTCCATACATTAAAGAATCCTAAAAATTCCACCAGAAAACTACTAGAGCTAATCAATGAATTTGGTAAAGTTGCAGGATACAAAATTAATGCACAGAAATCTCTTGAATTCCTATACACTAATGATGAAAAATCTGAAAGAGAAATTAAGGAAACACTCCCATTTACCACTGCAACAAAAAGAATAAAATACCTAGGAATAAACCTACCTAGGGAGACAAAAGACCTGTATGCAGAAAACTATAAGACAGTGATGAAAGAAATTAAAGACGATACCAACAGATGGAGAGATATAACATGTTCTTAGATTGGAAGAATCAATACTGTGAAAATGACTATACTAACCAAAGCAATCTACATATTCAGTGCAATCCCTATCAAATTACCAATGGCATTTTTTACAGAACTAGAACAAAAAATCTTAAAATTTGTATGGAGACACAAAAGACCCCGAATATACAAAGCAGTCTTGAGGGAAAAAAACGGAGCTGGAGGAATCAGACTCCCTGACTTCAGACTATACTACAGAGCTACAGTAATCAAGACAATATGGTACTGGCACAAAAGCACAAACATAGATCAATGGAACAAGATAGAAAGCCCAGAGATAAACCCACACACCTATGGTCAACTAATCTATGACAGAGGAGGCAAGGATATACAGTGGAGAAAAGACAGTCTCTTCAATAAGTGGTGCTGGGAAAACTGGATGGGTACATGTAAAAGAATGAAATTAGAACACCTCCTAACACCATACACAAAAATAAACTCAAAATGGATTAGAGACCTAAATGTACAACCAGACACTATAAAACTCTTAGAGGAAAACAAAGGAAGAACACTCTTTGACATAAATCACAGCAAGATCTTTTTTGATCCACCTCCTAGAGTAATGGAAATAAAAATAAACAAATGGGACCTAATGAAACTTAAAAGATTTTGCACAGCAAAGGAAACCACAAACAAGACCAAAAGACAACCCTCAGAATGGGAGAGAATATTTGTAAACGAATCTATGGACAAAGGATTAATCTCCAAAATATATAAACAGCTTATGCAGCTCAATATTAAAGAAACAAACAGCCCAATCCAAAAATGGGCAGAAGACCTAAATAGAGATTTCTCCAAAGAAGACATGCAGATGGCCAAGAAGCACATGAAAAGCTGCTCAACATCACTAATTATTAGAGAAATGGAAATCAAAACTACAATGAGGTATCACCTCACACCAGTTAGAATGGGTATCATCAGAAAGTCTACAAACAACAAATGCTGGGGAGGGTGTGGAGAAAAGGAAACCCTCCTGCACTGCTGGTGGGAATGTAAATTGATACAGCCACTATGGAGGTTCCTTAAAGAACTAAAAATAGAACTACTGTATGACCCAGCATTCCCACTACTGGGCATATACCCTGAGAAAACCATAATTCAAAGAAATACATGCACCCCAATGTTCATTGCAGCACTATTTACAATAGCCAGGTCATGGAAGCAACCTAAATGCCCATCAAGAGATGAATGGATGAGGAAGATGTGGTATATATATATAATGGAATATTACTCTGCCCTAAAAAGGAACGAAGTCAAGTCATTTGTAGAGACGGGGATGCATCTAGAGACTGTCATACAGAGTGAAGTAATTCAGAAAGGGAAAAAAAACTATCGTATATTAACACATATATGTGGAACCTAGAAAATGGTACAGATGAACCGGTTTGCAGGGCAGAAATTGAGACACAGATGTAGAGAACAAACGTATGGACACCAAGGGGGGAAGCGGCAGTGGGTTGGGGGAGTTGGTGTGATGAATTGGGCGATTGGGATTGACATGTATACACTGATGTGTGTAAAATGGATGACTAATAAGAAAATAAATAAATAAACAAACATTAAAAAATAATATAATACATAAATAAATAAATAAAAAGAAGTCAACATAACATTGGGTTTGCCAAAATATTCGTTAGGCTTTGCTGTAATGAACTTTTTGGCCAACCCAATATTTGTCTTCTGTGAATATTTCAGCTGCTGCAGCAGTATTTTACTTAATGTTGACCTGTGGTCTGAAAAATTGTATTGCCTCTCTAAACATCTGATGTCTTACTTATGTCAACCCAGTTCAAAAATTTGCACTTGATATCATCTGAATATAATTTCTCAGAAAAATGGGAAATGTGCTTAGCTTTACCAGCTTACTGGTGACTTCTTGAAAAGGGAATATTTCTATTTTTACTCTATGAAGAGGCAAATTACTCCACCTGGAATCATCACATATATATTCTGACTTTCAGAGAAGGGCCTATAATAAAAAGTGAATTAAACTTGGTTGAAACTAATTTAAACTATTATTATTCTCTTCATCAAACTCAATTTCTTCTGGAACTTTTACCCTCCCTTCATAGTTTGTAAATACTCAGCAAATCAAGTGTAAAGCCTAGAAATTACCAATAACATCTAATTGATAAACAAAATGAAAAACGCTCCCATTCTAGTCTTGGATAAAACAAGAAGAGTCACAATTGTCTGCAATGTAGAAATGCTATGTGGCAAGAGTAAAGATAGAAATGAAAGGTAGAATTACTTTGTATGTTTGATTATAAAACAAATTAAGGAAAAACCTAGATCCATTAAGTAGAAGTGCAATAACTGTTCTCTCTGTTTCTACTCCTGCTCTTCTAGACTCAATTCCCCTTGACACAGTATGAATAATATTTTAAAAACATAAGCCAGATCATGTCAATCTCCTGCTCACAGCCATCTTTGGCTTATATGAAAGTCCTTACAGGGTCTACAAGGTCCTATGTGAGCTAGCCCTGACTACTCTTTCAACAGCATTTCCTATCAGTCTGCCCATAACTTATTCATGTTTAGAACCAATCATGTCTGTCAAAGTAATTGTAAAAGTACACATTTATTCTTGTGCTTAATCTGTCATTCCAAAGGCTGTTTTGTTTTTCCACAATGAAGTGATGAATGCTAACATAGGTATAATGGACCAATATGATGATTGCCAAGAGACAGAATGGAAGTCAATCCTACGTATACCTAAGTCTCCCAAGAAGCTGTTCTTATAGACATGTCAGCAATTAGGGCAGGAATTAGTCTGCTGATGACATTTCACCAAATAACAGCCACTAAAGACTTACCTGCAGCTACTACGATAACATCTGCCAGCAGAGTATGGATCTTCAGTTGTTCTTTGGGAGTATATCTGTGAGCTATTGTCACAGTTGCATCACCTGGAATGCAGAATAACTTCCATTAATGATTACTGAGGTTTTTGTTTTTTTTTTAAATTTGTGAATGCTCCAATTCTAGAGGAATTCCAGTTACATCCTAAGAATAGGAAAACTGCTTTGAAATTATCAAGTCGCTTAGCAAGCAAAAGCTAGATAATCTAGATGACTCAAAATATTGTACCCCTCAATTGAACAGTGGAAAATCAAATGAGCTAAATGAAGGTATGTGCTGACCATCATAGGAGAGTTGTAAGTAGAGTCCTAGAAACCCAGGATTTAAAGTTCTGTATTGACAGGTCAATACATAGATGCAGGGGATACTCACTGGCTTGATAATATGTAAATATTGAAAACAACATAATAAGTGCACTAAAAATGATACAATGTACTGTGGAAGCATAGGTGAGAGATTAATTCTGCTTCATCCTGAGGAGGTGTCAAGGAAGGTTTCCTGAAGGAGTTAATATACATTTTTAGGTCATAAAGTATGAACAAGACTATACTAATCAGGGAAAGAATAAAAGAGCATTCCAAGCCAAAAGGATAGCAGGAAAAAATGGACCAACTTTGAAATTATATGTTTAGAAAATGATGACGAGGTCTAGGATATAACAGGAAGTATTCATACATGATTTAATTAAGAGATGTAGGAATAAGAGAGGTTAGCAGTATGAGGGATTCCAGTGCTTAATGTGTGAGCCAAGGAAGGGGAAAAAGGGAAAGGCAGTGATGAGGGAAGTCAAAGGAAGGACTTGCAGTAAGAACAGGGCCGTGTGAGACAGTATTGTCTCTCTTCTCCTCCCAGATAACATGCAAATGCTACACAGTTAATGACAACAACAAAAACTGCACAATTTTTAGCAAAACTAGAAGACATATTGTACACAGACTCCAAAAACATGGAAGAGTTACCCAGGATCAGCAGAGTTAGTAGATACCACACAGGGAGAAAGGCAGAAAGAAGTTCAGAGAATAACAAGATGGCCAGCAGTGGCAGATCTCTGGAAATGACTACAAAAATATACATCCTGAAGGTGAAGGGAGCACATAAAATGCAATATATATCCCTCTTATTTGTAGCAGAAAATGTGGGAATAAGGGCAGAAGAAGCCCTCTTGGACCTAGCATAGTTCACAGTGGGTAGTAACACAAAGACTCAGAGGAGCCATTCAAACAGGAAGCAGTCTGACTCTGTGAAAGTGGTGAAGGAAGAATCTGAAGGCTGCTCAGCATGTCCTCCCCAAACCCTAACAGAAGCACCTGCAAAGATAAGGTCCAAGAAAATCCAGCTCATTCCATGATAAGTAATTTTAAAAAGGATTTTACACAGCATCAATAAAAGGATACTATATAAGAATCAGCCCAGGGGAACTTTGATTCTAGTGGTAGTTACATGACTATATGCATTTGTCTAAAGTTATGGAACGATACACCAAAAAAGAGTAAATTTTACTACATGCAAATTTTTAAGTAAATAAAAGGATACATTTTAAAAGTGGCAGACCCAAGGAAAAAAAAACAAAGAAAATTTTAAATTTAACAACAAAGTAATAAACTCAACAGAAAAATGTTGTTATGGAAAAGTTGAACATTACGGCCAAACACTATGCCAAGCACTTTAAAAATAAGAACTTAGAGTCATACAAAATGGGGAAAAAAGACTTGAGTCCATACAAATTGAACTATAATAGTCAACAGTGAGACACATATCAGTGAAGTTGCTGGATTTTAAAGACTAAAAAAAGAAGCCTATGAGCAACCAGGCAAAAATTCAGATTTTTACATTCAATTCCAGAAAACAGCAGAGCAATACCTACAAGAGACCCATGTAAAGAAACTGGGAGCAAGGATTTCATATCCAGTCAAATTGTCTTCCAAGATTAAAGTTTGCAAACAATTTTGAAATTGTAAGAACACAGGAAATATTGTTCCCATGAGTTTTTCCGGAGGAATGAGCTAAAAGATGAACTTTAATGAATCAAAATATATCTGAGGAAACTGGCAAAAGGACTATTGGAGTGTTTTGAATATATTTAATAACAAAATTAAGGCAAAAAAGTGTGAGGATTGGGGTGATAGACAAAATGTTAAATGCTATTTGCTCTGATTAGGTAGAATTGGTGCAACTAACAAAATTAGAATAGGAAGGACAAAATTGAGAAAGTTTGCTGATTGCCTTATATTTAATGACTAGAATGAACAGATATAATTTAAAGCTGACCAGTCAAATAACAGAAATATGAGAATATTTAAAAGTATAAGGTACACACACTACAAAGGTAATTTTTATTAGCAAATATCAGGTAGGAGACAAAAGAAATGGAATCACGAAAGGAAAAGGAAACATTTTATCATCTCTTCTAATAGAGTATCAATAGATACCATATAAAGAAATAGAGAACTAAGAGTACTGTATAAAGTTATAATTATTAACTTCCTAAATCTTCCTAAATAATAAAACAACTATATACAAAAAAGAAAAAATATAAAAAGTAAACAAAAACTGTAAAAACAACAAAACAGAAGATAATGACATTTCAGACTGTATATATTTACCATAATAATAAATATAAACTTTTCTGTTATTTATTAAAAGAATAATATATTAAAATTGACTCACAAAGTAAAGTCTAGTTCTACACTTTATATAAAACACATCTAAAACAAAGCTGTTCAGAAATGTTGAAAATAAAAGGTGGGCAAACATATAACAGGAAAATGACTTATCAAAAAAAAATGATGCTCTTATTATCAAATAAGGAGAAATTCAGCAAATTTATCAAATAGGATAAAAAGGTACATATTATAATGCAAAGGTGTGATTTAAAAGAAGACATGACTCAAGCATTCTCTTGTTCCAAATGAGAGCCTCCCAAATCTCTGCAAAAACCAAAATTAAAACCAAACCTTCCCACTTCATCATTACTGATGATTTCATCAAGGAACTGAGCGATACATAATCCAGTGAGTCATATACACATAAAATTAACAATCTGTAAAGCTTCAAGCAAAAGAAAAAATATTGAGATGAATTTCAGTCAGCATGGAAAGATCTTTTAGATAACTCCACTCCTTCAATAATAATATCTAGTTAAATTGTTTTTACTCCTAAGTGAGTTTGGCTAGGAATACCCATGGAAATATCAAAGTCTTATTTAGACTCCATTGATCAGTTTCTGACTATTGTGCTATCAAACAATGGGAAGGTTTTTAGCCTTCCCATTTTCATTAAACTGGATGATGATAGCAAAAGAGAGTTGAGCCAAGGGAGTTAAGAGCAAATGTGTTCAAATAATGCCTCAGACGCTTCTGCCTTTTCCCCTTGATACCTGTTCCTGGTTCTGAGAACTAGATATCCTAACTGTCTTACTTGGCGTTGTGAAAATTCTTGTCATTTCTGTTTTCAATTCTGGTGCCCCATTACTTTTGTTCAATGAATCCTATGACTTGCTGCACCTAGTCATTTCTAGCACCTCAAATTTTTCCCTAGGGTAATCAGAACCAACAGGTTACAGCAGCTACTCCATAAAATGATGTATATCCCTGACCCTCAGATGACTTTTCCCCTCACTCAGTTTTATCCTCATATTGTGAGTAAGATAAGAGCCTGGGCTCAGGCTTAATTTTTCTATCACACAAACCCAGATAAAAATGCTTTGTGACCACCTACAGGGGTGGGATAGGGAGGGAGAGCAAGAGGGAGGAGATATGGGGATATATGTATATGTATAGCTGATTCACTTTGTTATAAAGCAGAAACTAACACACCACTGTAAAGCAATTATACTTTGATAAAGATGTTAAAAAATGTTTTGTAAGAAGTATTAAGCAACTTCATTGTACCCAGTGCTTTACATCATGCTTGTAAGATATAATAAGAATAAAAGACTTAGAACCTATCTCCCAGAATCATAGAGTTCTGTTAGAACTTAATAAGTTAGCTGCTGGGCAAGATATGCTTCTTACTATATAAAAGTCCACAGTCAATCAAGACTTGTTCACTGGGAGCCACCTGCACAGTTTTCTAGGCTATCATTACCTCTGTAATTTATGCAAAATTGCAGATTGTAGCAAAGAGTTGTTGGCAATTAAAATTTGAGGAAATTAACATTTTCTATTTTAAAATGTTAAGACAAACAACACAATATGATTCATTTTAGAGTATCATTTTTTTGTTAAAATTACCTAAATGAGGAATTTACTTTTGTCAGACATTTCCAGTCATTCCCTACATTCATTTATTCGACAATCAAGAAATAATCCCAGGACCATGCCAAGTGATGGAGATACACAGTTCCCTCCTCTCATATGGAAAACAGATCTGTGAATCAGAATTATAATACAATGTGATAACTCCACACTAAAAGGAGGTATAAGTTACAGTGCTGGCACAGAGAACCATTATCTACTCTAGCTAAGAACAGCACAGGGGCACTTAAAGGTCTAAGAGAGAGGTTCTTGATGTGAGTAGGAATTTGGTTTGCTTCTGCTTCAATTCCCTTATGCTTTTCCTATCCCTTCCAACTTATAAATCATTTTCCATAAAAATAATTATAGGCATATTATTTCACCCAGACTGTTGGAAAGTTCTTTCTTACAAGAGCTAAAGTCTCCCTTTTTGCAGATTTTACCAGGATCCTAGATCTATCTTCCACAGCAACGCAGGACAAGTCTCATCTTCCTTCTCCATGAGGCAAATCTTCAAATACATACTTTCTTGTGCCTGTATAAGCAGATGAAGCCAAATGGCAAATCCAACAGGAGCTAGAATCTCACATGTAGGGTTGGCTTTGTCACTTTTTAAGGGAAAAATGAGTCATTCCCAATATATTAACTCATACCATGGTCTGTTTGAAAGGGAAAATCACCAGGGAAATCGCAAGAAGGAAAACTCAGTATTTGTCAACAGAATAGCACTAGATGGATAAGAGAAGCCTGAGTTCTGTTTTTGGACAAATCCCTCCAGAGGCCTAAAGATTCTGAATTTGAACATGTATTTC